GTTGCCCAGGTGGGTCTCGAACCCGTGGGCTCAGGCAATCCACTCGCCTCAGCCTCCCAAGGCATGGGATTACAGGCTGAGCCACCGAGCCCGGCTCCCTTTGTGTTTTCTTAGTAGCATCATGAAGAGCAAAAGTTTTAATTTTGGTGAAGTCCAATTTATCATTTGTTTCCTTTTATGCCTGTACTTTCTGCATATCAACTAAGAAACCCTTGTTTACCCCAAAGTCACACAGATTTTTCTCCTCTTGCATCATTTTATGATTTACAGGACAGCATAGTCATGGATTACTTGATTTAAAATTTACCTTTAGTCAGGCTTGGTGGCTCAGCCTGTAATCCCGTGCCTTTGGGAGGCTGAGGTGACTGGATTGCCTGAGCCCGTGGGTTCGAGACGCGCCTGGGCTTTGAAGACCTCATCTCTACAATAAATCAAAAAATTAGCCGGGCGTGGTGGTGCGCACCTGTGGTTCCGGCTACTTGGAAGGCTGAGGCGGAAGGATCGTCTGATCCCAGCAGGTTGAGGCTGCGGTGGTCATGAGCGTACCCCTGCCCTCCAGCCTGGGCGACAGAGTGAGAATCCAACTCAAAAAAACAAAAAAAAAGAAAAACCTTTTAATAAATGGGTATTACAAGAGTATATATTGTATGATGATATTTGTTAAAATATAACAGGCAAAATCTGTGTTAGGAGAAGTCAGAATAGTGGTCACCCTAGAGTGGGGACAGTGGCTGGGAGGTTTATTTGGGGAGCTGGGTATGTTCTCTTTCTTTCTTTTTTTTGTGTTAGAGTCTCACTCAGTCACCTAGGCTAGAGTACAGTGGCATGATCATGGCTCACAGCAGCCTCAACCTCCTGGGCTCAGCAAATCCTCACCCCTCAGCCTCTTCAGTAGCTGGGGCTACCAGCACTCATCAACACGTCCACCTATTGTTTTTATTTTTTGTAGACATGAGTTCTCGCCATGTTGTCCAGGCTGATCTAGAACTCCTGGATTCAAGTGATCCTTCCACCTCGGTCTCCCAAAGTGCTGGGATTACAGGCGTGAGCCACCACAGCCGAGTTCTCTTTCTTGACTTGGGTCCTGGTTACATATGTGTGTTTAGTTTGTGAGAAATTTATATAGTTACAAACTTAGAATTTATTCTTCATGTGTCCCTACTTACTTTCTAGGACTGCGTGCAGCTAAATCAGTATACGCTGAAGGATGAAATTGGAAAGGTAAGTATCCTGGGAGCCAGGCTGTTTTTCTGCCTTCACAAGGGATATTTCAGATACTGTGTGCCAATCTGGTAAAGCTGGGGTCAGGTGAGGAGTCTTTGGAGGTGAGCTTGGTGGGAAGGATTTTGTCACTATTGGTCTAGGGTTTTTGGCTTTGTTTATTGTATATATATATTTTTTTGAGTTGGAGTCTCACTCTGTCACCCAGGCTGGAGTGCAGTGGCACGCTCATGGCTACTGCATCCTCGACCTGCTGGGCTCAGGTGATCCTTCCACCTCAGCCTTCCAAGTAACCAGAACTACAGGCGTGTGCTACCACACCCGGCTAATTTTTTGATTTATTGTAGAGACAGGATCTCACCATGTTGCTTAGGCTGGTATCGAACCCATGGACTCAGACAATCCTCTCACCTTGGCCTCCCAAAGTGCTGGGATTACAAGCTTGAGCCACCACGCCCGGCTTGTTTGTTGTATCTTAAATGTGTTTCTGCAAAAACTCAGAGAGGTATCTCGCCGTGGTAGTAGTTACATCCCTAGCACATTCGTGGATTCTTTCCCTTCAAGGCACTCACATCTATGTGTGCTTTTGTTTTAGCCATTGAGTGATATCATTACAATGGTCAAAAACTCAAATGCCAATAGAAAACAAGTGAGTAATATACATGAATGAGGCGTGTATGGTGGTAAGAACTATGCAAACTGCTTACCTGTGAAATGAGGGCTTCATATGGAAAGAGCTTCCCGTTTTTTGGAAACAAAACTGGGAATCTGAATTTTAATATCTGCTTTTTTTAAAATGTTGGCAGCTAATCCAAACTTTTTTTTTTTTGAGTTGGAGTCTCACCCTGTCGCTCAGGCAGGTGCAGTGGCACGCTCACAGTCACTGCAGTCTCAACCTGCTGGGTTTAGGAGATCCTTCTGCCTCAGCCTTCCAAGCAGCTAGAATGACAGGCACGCGCTACAATGCCCGACTAATTTTTTGATTTATTGTAGAGATGAGATCTTGCCAAGTTGCCCAGGCTTGTCTCAAATCCCTGGTCTCAGGCAATCCTCTCACCTGGGTCTTCCAAAGTGCTGGGATTACAGGTGTGAGCCACTACACCCAACTCTAATCTAAACTGCAGGTCCAACAAAATACAGTTGCAGGGCAGATCTGACTCATGGGGTGCTAGCTTGCAACCCATGTTAGGGTCCTCGTTTTACAGATCATAACTTCTGGATAGAGTGTCACGGGCATCTCCCTTTATCCAGGGCTCCTATGGCGTGGTCAAGTTGGCCTACAATGAAAATGACAATACCTACTATGTGAGTATCCACATTCCCTTTCCCATCCCCTGACCTTTTCCAAAGAAAAGCCTCCTTTCCAGCACTTAGCTTCCTGGAAGATTTTCATAGCTGTTGTCTCATTTTGCTCTCTTTGAGTCGGAGTCTCACTCGGTCACCCAGACGAGAGTGCAGTGGCCCCAGCATGGTTCAACGCAGCCTCAACCTCCTGGGCACAGGTGATCTTTCTGCCTCAGTCTCCCAAGTAACTGGGACTACAGGCATGCACCACCATGCCAGACTAGTTATTTGATTTTTTAGTAGAGGTGGGATCTCACTCTTCTGCCTAGGCTGGTCTTGAACTGCTGGATTTAAGTAATCCTCTTGCCTGGGCCTCCCAAAGTGCTGGGATTACAGGAGTGAGCTACCACGCCTGGCCCTCATTTTATTCTTAGGTCATATTTATTTTGTGCATTAGGAAGGGAGCAGTATACCCATTTTATAGATGAGGAAATGGGGAGGTGAATTGATTAGCCCAAGAAGAGTTATTCATTCAGCAAATATCTCTTTTTTTTTTTTTTTTTGAGTTGGAGTCTCACTCTGTCACCCAGACTGGAGTGCAGTGGCTGCTTCCGGCCACCGCAGCCTCGACCTGCTGGGCTCCGGCAATCCTTCTGCCTCAGCCTTCCAAGTAGCTGGAACTACAGGCGTGCACTACCACGCCCGGCTGATTTTTGATTTATTGTAGAGATGAGGTCTCGCCAAGTTGCCCAGGCGGGTCTCAAACCAGCGGGCTCAAGCAATCCACTCACCCCAGCCTCCCAAAGGCGCGGGATTACAGGCTGAGCCACTGAGCCCGGCTAGCAAATATCTCTTATGCCCTTCCTTTGAGCAGTCATTTCTGCATCCTCCATAGAACTGAGGACAAGGCAGCAATGAGACAAATTGCCCTTGTAGGTGAGACTTTGGAGTCAGTCTGATATAGGTTCAAATCCTGGCCAAGTGTGCCAAGTGTGTGACCTTAGGCAAGTAATGCTTCCCCATGTGTAAGACAGCTGAGCCTCAGTTCCCCCGTGGGTAAAACAGCCCATCATGCCCTTCCTGTGTCCATCACCCAATTCACTCATTTTTTGATTTGGTGGCGATGAGTCCAAGGCTCGTGGCTTCTCAGCTGGGAGAGCTGAGAACCTCAGATGCACCCTCAGGATTAGAGGACTCTGGGAGGCCAGCCTCCATGCGACCTAGTAGCTCCTTGACCTCCTTTGGTGATGAGGTGCTCATGAAGTTGTCTTGAGACTCCTTGGGGCCTGGAGCCTGGGCAGGCTTTGGACTGGGGGGAATCCCTCCCATGTCCTCCTCCCTCCTTCATGCCTTTTTGTTTTTGAGTTAGAGTCTCACTCTGTCACCCAGGCTGGAGTGCAGTGGCACACTCATGGCCACCACAGCCTCAATCTGCTGGGCTTAGGCGAGCCTTCCGTCTCAGCCTTCCAAGTAGCTGGAACTACAGGCACGTGCCGCCACGTCCGGCTAATTTTTTAATTTACTGTTGAGACGAGGTCCTGCTAAATAGCCCAGGCTGGTCTTGAACCCCTGGACTCAGGCAATCCCGTCGCCTCTACCTCCCAAAATGCTGAGATTACAGGTATGAGCTACCATACCTGGCTCTTCCTCCATCCTTTAACCAAGATGTGGGTCTTTTCTCCTGCAGGCAATGAAGGTGCTGTCCAAAAAGAAGCTGATCCGACAGGCGGGCTTTCCACGTGAGTTGGGCGGGCAGTTGTTCTAAGGGGCAGGAGCCCGGGCAAGACAGGGCAGAGCCCCTCCAATGGGATCCCCTGCAGATAGTACCCTGGGTGGACACCCCACCCCACTCGGAGCTTCCCCCTGAAGGCAGCACTGGGCCTCCTGTCAGGTTCCTTATTCATTTTCTTTCTTTTTTTTTGAGTTGGAGTCTTACTCTGTCGCCCAGGCTAGAGTGCAGTGGCATGCTCACGGCCACCACAGCCTCGACCCGCTGGGCTCAGGCAATCCTTCCACCTCAGCCTTCCAAGTAGCTGGAACTACACGTTCCAGACGTGTGCCACCACGCCTGGCTGATTTTTTGATTTATTGTCGAGACGAGGTCTCGGGGGAAGAGGGAACAAGGAGTGACAGCTGATAGTCATGGGGTTTTGGGGAGTGGTCAATGACAATATTCTGGAATTAGACACGGCAATGGTTGTACAAACTCATGAATGTATCAAAGACCACTAAAATATGCATTTTAACTTTTTTTTAAAAATCAGAATCTTGCTCTGTCGCCCAGGCTGGAGTGCAGTGGCATAATCACGGCTCACTGTAGCCTCGCACTCTTGGGTTCAGGTGATCCTCCCATCTCAGCCTCCTGAATAATTGGGACTACAGATGTGCGTCACTATGCTCAGCTAATTTTTTTTTTATACAGACAAAGTCTCACTGTGTTGCCTAGACTGATCCCAGACATCTAGGCTCAAGCAGTCCTCCTGTCTTGGCCTCCCAAAGTGCTGGGATTACAGGTTTGAGCCACTGCTCAAACATTTTATTTATTTATTTATTTGTTTGTTTGTTTGTTTGTTTATTGAGTTGGAGTCTCACTCTGTCACCCAGACTGGAGTGCAGTGGCCGCTCCCGGCCACCGCAGCCTCCACCTGCTGGGCTCCGG